TATTGTACACACACACACACACACACACACACACACACACACACACACACACACACACACACACACACACACACACACACACACACATAATTCTACATTATATCTCACCTATGATACATGCAATCGCATATTTGTATAACAAATTCGTCGCAATAAAACGTCTAAATCTAATTCCAAGGATTCGACATTATTTGTTCGTGTAAACTACATGTTTGTATAGATTACTATCATTTATCTTAATTGAAAATAACTTTGTCAATTCAATAACACCATTAAAACAAATACTTATGTTATTGTTTTAATAAAATTTTATTTGTTTCATTAATACTGTTATTTGTTTAATTAATACTATTGTAACAAATCAAAAAGATTATTTTTAATTAAAATAATGCTGTTGTACTGTTACTGTTGTAGTGTTGTAGTGTACTCTCCTCTTATTCTATTCATAACTCGGAAGGGATTTTCACGTTTTTTTTCGCTATTACGAGATTTCAGTGTAATTGCCGCAATTAATGTTTCAAAACACATACAAAGAATTGATATATTTAATCAAAGATATAAAAAAATGAAGATTTGATATTTGATTATATTAGATATGTTTTTCTCGTTTTGAATTGTTATGCTGATTTGAATTTAATGATTTGATCGCCGTCTTCTACAATAAATAAAGTATATTGAATGAGAGAATCGCAGAAACCTAATTAATATATATCTATAATTGCATATTAATGTAATGATACATGTTATTAATAATTCTTTAATAATGCGCTTCATTGTCACATTTTTTGAAATTGTGCATACAATATCACGATTATATATTTTTGTCTTAATCAAAAGTTATAATAATTCAAGTCTTCTATATTAATTATATAATGTGCGTAAAATTATATAATGTAAAATTAGTGGTCTTATTTTTCGTCTACGCAAAACAGTGCAAATATCTTTGCTGTGTTAATGTGCGGGATGTTAATCGTCAAGCGAATCATTGCTTCATGCAATCGTATCTTCTTTGCGTTAGCTTTCATTCGCAATAAAGTATCGCAAAGTGTTACGTGATCATCATATTCTGATGATTGATATGCGCAGAGTCGCTGCTAGTCCTTTTGGGAATGCGTTTATATGAGCGCTATGAAGGAACATTAATGGTGAAACAGTGGGAGGAAAAAGAGAAAGCTTAGTCTGGAAGTTATGGGACGACAATGAAGCATCCAAGAGATAAGTAATTTATTTATGCATTTATGTATATACAGAGTGTCTGGAAATAATCGCCAAATATTTCATGAGCAAGTAGAGCGGACTAAACTGAGTCGAAAAAGTCCTCTACCATTTTGTAAATTTCCCCAATAGTTAACGAGATATTAATCCTTAAAGATAGCCGAATACGCGCGCTCACTGGCCTACTACTGTGAAGTGTATACGTCTACCGAATGCTTGGCGCACGGGCCTTAGAAATTGGGGATTGGCTGGCAAGCGCTCCGCGCACACCGTCGCAAGCCTCTATAGCTCGGACGGTGCGCTTGCCAGGTTATCCCCTCCTCACGGCCCGCGCGCCAAACGATCGGTAGGTGTACACTTCACAATAGTATTCGGTATTGGGAAAATTTACAAAATGATAGAGGACTTTTCGACTTAGTTTAGTCTACTTGCCCATGAAATATTTGGCGATTATTTCCAGACACCCTGTATGTGTGTGTGTGTGTGTGTGTGTGTGTGTGCGCGCGCGCGCGCGCGCGCGTGTGTGTGCGTGTGTGTGTGTGTGCGTGCGTGCGTGCGTGCGTGTAACATTTTTGATCATTAAAAAATTTTTTAAATTTTCTAAATTAAATTTATGGATAATATCGCGACTTGTATACTAAGAGTGCAAATATTTTCTTGTCAATATTTGTATATAAATTTTAGGAATATGTTATATTCTAAATTATGATGAGATTTGGGCAATTTTTAAATATTATAATTTATAATTTATAGTAGCCCAAATCATAATGTAGTTCATTGTGAATAGTTAGAGGTAATGTTTTGACAATTTTTTAGAAATATGACAGAATCAAAATGTTAGTATACTCAAAGTGTCAAATGATCGTATTTTGGTATTGATTGTGCAGGATTGCAACCAGCCTTTTTGTAGTGATTTTGTGTGAGTGCCATGAAACAGCAAGAATTAGATATAAGAAAAAACGGAAAAAAAAAGAAAAGAAGGAGGTGTGAAAGGCATCTTGCGACGGAGCATCCAAAAGGTATATAATTTATTAGTGTACCTTCAAACAGTGACACAAATGACACGGTGTGACATGGTGTGGATCATTATATCCTTGTTATCAATGTTAAACAAAGATGACATGATCATTGTGTCGCACTGTGTCGCTTGTTGGAAGGCACACTTATTTATTTGTTAGCTATTTATAAAATTCAACATTTCCGTGCTCAGTTATACACAGTGCACAGAATATGTTCAAACAATTTTCGTAGGACATACGTATAGAAATTAGTAAAATACGTCCTCATACAGATTACCGGCAACATCTCGAATCTCGGGAAAGTTCCATTCATGCATGGAACTCCAAGTTTTTGCCAGTACTTGTAATTTCGCATCAGATAAAAATAAAGATTCAAGAATCAGAGACATCAATACGATGATCATTGCGATGATGATTGCTGCTCTCGGATGAGAAATGATGCTTGTTCAGATAAATTGATGTGACCTTGACCATATCACTTGGAACTAGTCAGTAACAAAATGGTTGAAGAATGGTTGGCTACATCACGTTGATAACGTAGATAAGTGGTGAATGAGTGAGACTACATAACAATAATAAATTTCACATTGGCAATTTCCATCGCCAAATAAACATCATTACTACGTAATACTAACTAATATCTTCTCTTCGTTACAAAAACTGAATTGATGCTTGGAATTATTGAACAGAGAATGTAAGAAAATATTTATATCAAACATATTAAAAAAATTGTTTAACGATTCGATCATTTTCTAAATACGCTCTTTGAATTTTTTCCCTTTTTTGCTATATGGTTTTATGGTATATTTGCAATGTATATACTAAGTTTTATACTAGACGATGATGAATAAATAAGAAAATGAACTTCTTTTCACCTCTAATTGTTTTTATTTTTTCGCTTATTTAGAAAAAATAGCAAGAGAAAATATTGTTTAAAAGTCTAACTCTCAGATAGCTTTAAATCCGAATCGATCTTGAAGCCTTACTGCTTACGTCTTACTACCTTTTTTGTGTGCCGTGGAGTTTAGTAAATAGAGTACAATTTTCCGTTCGATTTTCTTTTGTTAAATATTAATTATAACGTGTTAACTTAACAAATACGAACATATAATGAATCGTATAATGAACCGTTTCCGCGCTACAAACCTTCTTCAAATCTAGACCTTAAAAGGTCTAGATTTTACATGATTACCTTTCAAGGTTCGTAGTGACTTATAGGATCAAATTGTGCCCATTGAGACATTTGTTCAGAATGAAGAGAACTATAATATATCTAAAAATTAGCCAAATTCGCAAAAAGACATTTTCCCATAAGATTGGTGCAGGGTCATTTGGTTTATTCCGGATGTCTCATGTAAAAATGACTATGTTTGACCAGAAGTTTTATCAGTGGTTTCATTGTATTGACTGTATTAGAGGAGAGATTGGAATTATCTAAATTTATCTCATTGCATTGAAGAAAACTCGAACAAGAAGTCGAAATGTCTGCCCAGTTGAATTTATCAGCTTTTATGAACTTTGTATTATTACGATTACACAACAATAATTATTATATTTCGACATTAATAGCGCCGCGGCAAAATCTCATTGGCAATTTGAGTTGCAACTTTAGATTTATTTTAATAAATATTTTCTTTAATATTAATTACAAAAAGTAAATGTAAAAACATATGCACAGATCGAAAACTTGTTATATATATATAGTATATTATACAAACGTAAGTTATTTATTGATGTTTTTGTCTTCCAAAGTTTTCCTGCGTTTCTATATACTAGCTGATAAATGAATTATCTTAAGAAGATAAATACATAAAACTGTAAAATAGATTGCAAAGTATATAACACAATAACGTCATTGATTACTAACCATGTACCAATTAAAATTACAAGTAGGATTGTTATCATTTTTGGACTGTTACCATTTTATTTTGCAGAGCGCGATCTCGTATATACATATAAATTGCATGTTTTAGTTATTATAAGTGACATTTTTATTTTTCTATTATTTCTATTATTTATCTATCAATTGTTTCTATTATGTGTTTCTATTATCTCAGCAATGAACTATTTTAAAAATCTAAATATGTAAAAGTTTGCAATTCGGCATTGCATATAATGCAATAAAACATGGAAATGTCAAATCTTTTTAAATCGATCTTGGGATATAATGGATCTAGAAATTCTATGTCCTGCACATTTAATCCATTTCTTTGTTAATAAAAATTAATTCTGAAAGTGCGTGCGTGCGTTCGTGAGTGCGTGCGTGCGTGCGTGTGTGTGTGTGTGTGTGTGTGTGTGTGTGTGTGTGTGTGTGTCGTTTATTATAATTCTTTTCTCTGTCTAAGATTTTTATGTGATTCCAGTCAAAATCATGATTATATTCCAATTTATTTAGAACGGATTTTTAACTTGTGTTAATTCGCAATGGCTATCCTTTACATCTATTCTTGAATTTATTCATTGGAGCTTACACCAAGATAGTTAATTAATATCTTGTTAACTATTGCGAAAATTACAAAATGTGTGATTTTTTGATTCAGTTTAGTCCGCTCTATCTACACAAAAGCACTTAGCAAAAACTTACGGAATACTCTGTATACGATCATTTTTTAAGCTTTCAATAATGAGTATTCAATAATAAGTAGAACTGCGGAAAATTATGCAAGATACTTAACTGAACATTTTGCATAAAATCCATATTTTGTATAAATTTGCATATTTATAGATGGCAATCTCAATCTTTTTAATAACTCTTTAACGAACAACGATCGACTGCTTTCCAATAATTAATATTCAATTAAGTATTTTGCATAAACATCCAGTTTAATAATAAGATCGTCATTTCTCGCCGTTGTGTTTTTGCGTATGAGATAAACTTGTAGTTTATCTCTTCTGTAGAACCCGATCTTCATATAAATAGTATTCCCCTTCCTTCATATAACTCGCATTCCTATCTGTGCAATTGAACGGAGCGAGAACTTACGAGACACATACGACAAATTAAAAAAGTTGAAAAAATCAAGAGAATCGGACATTGATGACAATGTTGGATTGGTGCGTCGGAATTGCAACCACCCTACTGATCTTCCTCATTTATTTTGGATATTTCTTTAAATTCAATAATGTGAAAGTGAGTTGTTGAATTTCATTTTCTGTGTTTTTGCTACAAAGTGTACTAAGATTATAATTTAATACTTTTTGAAGGATTTAAGAACTGAGACCCGCAGCTTTTATAATAAAAATCGAAAGATAGGCAAAGAATTACCGCCGGTTTATCCGAACGGATGGTTCGCTCTGCTCGAAAGTTCACAGATAAAAAAAGGTCAAGTGAAACACGTGTCTGCTCTCAGCGAAAATTTTGCAGTGTTCAGGTACGTTAAGATGCAAAATTTTTTTTGAATAATTTTCGATATATTTTAATTGGAAATTTTCAATCCATCCGAATCCGTATTAAATCCATAAAAATGGATTGAATTCCATATAAAAAACTTTTATACATGTAAAAGTTTATATAATTACAATTAAAATAGTAATTACATGACATTCTATAGTTATTATTTTAAAACTTTTATACAAAAAAAATATGCTAGCTGTATAACGAAGGAAACGAATTTTAATATAAAATATATGTAAAAGCGATTAATTAAAAGTAAAGAATTTATATATGTAACATTTATTATACATATTTACATGTTCTTTTTATGTTTCTTTTAAACTATTAAATGAACTAACTATTAAATGAAAATTCATGATATACTTTTACGGTACAACTTTTTTTAACTTATTGTCAGTTGAATTAAAATAAAAAATTTCTTATTCATAATTCCGAATAAAATAGCATTCATGATGCATTTTTTAATGAAACAATTTTCTATTCACAATTTTGAATTAAATAGTATTCATGGCACTCATTTTAAAAGAAAAACTTTTTTTATTCAATTAGGTTAAAAAATTGCATTTTCTATTTAGAATTTTGAATTTAGTAATATTCACGATGCATAGAAATGGCCGATATTATTTTTAGATTGAAAAGCATAAAAATATACTCCATGCCATTCCTAAAAACGAATAAAAATGCATTCAGGATTGAAAAGGATTCATTTTAACATTCATGAATTCATATTTCTGAAAATCTGAATCCATTTTAATCCATTTCAATTCATCTCTTTGCTGAGTATTTATGTAACGTTTTTATTAATTTCTTCAAGAACCGAAAGAGGCATTATCAACATTTTAGACGCATATTGCCCTCATTTAGGGGCAAATATGGCCGAAAATGGTCGTGTCAAAGGAGATTGTCTGGAGTGTCCCTTTCATAGCTGGAAGTTTCGTGGAGAGGATGGCTACTGTGAGAACATACCTTATACCACAAAAGGTATTAATAAGTTTTACATAATCTTAATTGAGTCTTAAGGCAATTTTTACGAGCTGCTCTAATCGGTTGTTTCAGCAATAAAAAGAATCACGTGATCAAAGTGAATACTTAATATTCGTTAATTTTGACGTAATTCTTTCTTCGCTGAAACAGTCAGTTTGAGCAAGCCGTGAAAATTTATTTTCAGCTAATAAATCAATCAAATAACGCTCGTTAATTTGCGATGCATAAAATATATTTAAACAATCAAGAGATAATCAAATAAGTAAAACATTTAATAATTTAATAAAATAAATTTAATAAAATTTAAATAAAATAGCAAATATTTATAATACATTAATGTTTAATACAATACAATTTTCGATTCAAGAGTCTAGTTTATAAATAAACAAATAATAAAAAAAATTTATAGCAATACCTTTATATATTAAAATATTTCTCCGGCTATACATTCGCGTTAGAAAGTTAATCATGTACAACCTATTAATATGCACTCTTTGCGCGTATTCTCTGAAGAAAGAAACTTTTGAGGCGATCGTACACACACGCATAAATGTATCGAATCTGTATACACGAACACTAGTCCGTACTGAAGACAGTTGAAATGGCAAATTATGTCTCTGTCTCGATATGCGAGAAGGAGAATTTTATCAAATTACAAATTAAAACTATTCTAATTCAGAAACGATACGGTAACGGGCTAGGTAACGGGCTCTCCCCACTTTTTTAAATAAAATTTTTATAATATTTCTACATTACATATTTACTTATTTTTTTAAATCTGTAGATTTTCGCCGCAAAATATTAAAATGTTATTTCTGCAAGGCTTGGTATAGAAATTTACCATATATGTTAACCATATATAGATAAAATTATTTTATTCAATAAGAATATTTAAGCTTATAATGGTCGAAACTAGTTTTTTAATATTTAAAATATTGGGTTGTCTGGAAAGTTCGTGTCGATTTTGAAGGAAAATTGAAACACAGAAGGTTTAAATTTTAGTATACATTTATTAAATTATATAGGTGCCATTCTGTTTTACAACCTTTCTCCGTCTTTTAGGCAACTTGAAAATTCCGTCCTTTCAGAATCTCTCAGATTTTTCAGCGAAAAACTTTTCTAAGTGATTTTTTATCTCGACTATTGGACATTATGTGCTTCATCTTCGATCATTATTATATGACGATGTAGACAATTGTCTGGGTATGACCTGACCTCCCATAATTACTTCAATATAAGTTTTAATATGTAAAAATTGTTGTAAGTTTTTTTTGAGGTATTCCACTGTTAATAACTGTCAAATATTCTTTTAGATATTTTACAAATAAAAATATGAGACATTTGTTTAATATTTATATCTGTAAAATGTTAGCAAATATCAATAAATTAAAAAAAAAAATTAAAAATGACGATATTTCAAAGAATTCGATTTGACATGAAATGCCTCATTTATATATGTTTAATTATAAATGATGAAGAATTAATATATTGAAACGTATCATACATTAATGTATCATATTTGTTATTTTATTAAATTATTAAATGTTTTATTTATTTGTCTTTCAGTCATTTAAATTAGTACTTATATTCTTAGACATATTTATCTATTTTTTGCTATCAACATGTGTAATCAAAATGTTCGGATTGATTGTTTTTTATGGAATCATATTTCTGCATACCTATTTGTGCATTTTATCATACAACGCAAGCATTTGTGTCCAAATATTAAGTGTTTCATTTAGAGCTTAAGTTATATTCACAATTCTTGATTTTACACTAGAAATATGTATACATATATGTACAAAAATGTATATTAAAAATTATTTCTCAATGCATTTATCCTG